GGCGTGTTATCAAAGTAGATTGAAGTTACGAGTGTCGTCCCACAGCTCAACTTCAACAGTTGCGCTATAAAAAACTATAATTCACGTATCACGAGCTAGACTTCGACAATACGTCTCTCTCTGACTGCAGTTCAATTACTCATTACCTACACACACATTCTTGTCACGTCACGCCGTGACCATCTTATATATAGCAGACCACCCCCAATCTAGTAAATGCTAGAGCACTCCCGAAGGAACGGGATAGTTCTAGAAACGTGGCATGACACTAGTCACGTGACCTCGCTGACGCAACAATACAAATAGTATTTCAACCACTACTTATTTGTTGTATTCTAGATACTTTTCTGAATGATGGCAAAGGCGAAAGGCCTCATCGATACTAAATATATTAGACGTAGTGTGATTTACGTTCTTAGAATTATTCTCTTTGGATACTTGTGTATCGGATATGCATAGATCAGGCAGCAACCCTCAGCGAGGCTTAACATTATTAGATAGCGTTTTAAAAATATAATATCACAAACGAAAATCTAAAAAATAGGTTTAGTAAAAAAACTGTATTAATACTATTTGCAAAAAAATGAATAATTTTCTTCCTTTATAAAAATGTATAGAACATATATTTATAATTTCAACTCAAGGTTTACAAGTTTTGGTCTTCAAGCTAAATGCCATTTGTCAATATTGTTAAGTATCTGCTTGTTTGTTCATTTCCGGTAGAAATTATTTCAGAGGAACTTCAGCGATACAAGTCCTTTCTTTCTCGACACAAACTTTTAGTACTGTTACGACAGCGGAAGTCACGCGACGCTGGGAGCATGCGCGCTGGAGTTACTAGAAGGATCATGAATTTTCCTGGCAACTCTAGTTTGGTCCAGGAAACAGTATATAAGGCCGGCAAATAAAGCCAGCAAAGAGGAAATAGAATTGCATAGATATACAGATAGATTGAAGATAGAGATAATTGAGTCAGGCGAACAGTAGGCACCGTAAGTAAAGTGTGTGAATCACTGTGATTTGTAGTGTGTGTTATAAAGATTGTCAAGTTTAAAGTATAGCGTGTATTATAAAAGTTGTTAAGTTTAAGTGATGAGAAACGTACTGACTGTGGAATTACTGTGTACTGTTACGTCTCTGTTCGTTTGTTAATTTCCGGTAAAAATTATTTCCGAGGAAATTCAGCGTTACAAGTCCTTTCTTAATTAAAACTAGTTTATTCTTTCTCGATACAACTTTGTAATACATAGAATTTCCACAGTCAAATCACAGCGATTCACAATCTCGATAATTTTGCTCTCTACGAGTGCAAAGCACACACTAGCTCGAAACAGAATCGTAAGTTACCCGAAACTCACCGTGACTACTGTTCGCTTAACCCTGCTGGCTTTTCTAGCCAGGCTTATATACTAAGAGAGAGGCTTCTTCAAAATTCCCGGAGTTCCTCGATAATTTGAGAAATTCAGTCACGCATGCGCCAGCAGCGTCACGTGACTTTCGCTGTCGTAACAATATAGACAGTCGACGTAATTTGTAATTTGTAAGAGTATTTAGGTAGGTTCCACAAAATAACAGGAGATTCGATAGAAAATGCATCATTGAGCGAATTTGAATTCTTTGACTTTAACCAAGCTTGAAGAAATGAATATAATTTGTAACAAAACGAAACAATCTTTTGTTCATCATAATAACAACTAAAATAGTGTATTCACAAAGGACAGCACCTTTTCTGGAGAGAACACTCTGTGTATCTATTAAAAAGTAGTGTTTCTTGAGAATCTAGTTATTCTGTCCCAGACTGAGTAAACTTAATATTAGATACACTAAACAATAATGCAAGTCTTCTCAAGGTATGTGCTCTAACCATATAACTATTGGTCATTTGCATCGAAACATAAGGAAGTTAATATCTCCAAGGAGTCACCTGACCTGCTAATGAAAAAAGATTAGTGTCTAC